ATACCCATCCATATATCCATATATTCATACATACCCATCCATATACCCATATACCTATCTATATAGCCATATATCCATATATACCCATCCATATACCCATGTATACCCATTATCTGACCTGAGGGGTATGAATAGGCTTGAGCCCATTTCTACCCCGGACTATAAATTTGCTTAGGCCATAGTGTACCTGGGCTATTAGCTAGCCTAGACCTTTTTAGCCCCAGGTATAGTCCAGACTGGGGGCATACAATGGCCAGAAACTGGAAAAAAGAAGCAAAAATATGTGAAGATGCTTGAACCATCGGACAAATAATAATATTTCATTAAATTTAAGTTATTAAACAACCCCCCTCAGAGGTGTGTATGTGAAGAAATGGACCAACGATCCATATCACGTTGATGATTTCTTACCCTGCTCTAAGAAATTACTGGGTTTTCAGTCTGGGTCCAAAAAATAGATCTAAATGCTTAAAAGTCTCTAAGTCTCAGCTGGATGCAGGAAGCCAGTGTTGAAGTGAAGAATGATATGGGGATTGTGGACGGCTGAAAATGGCAAAGTTTAGTGTTGTGACTACCACTGCCTGTATGTTTTCTTTCTTTTATACAGATGTTAGATCAATCAATCAATCAACCTTTATTTATACAGGTAAATCCCATTGAGCCTCGAGGACTCATTTACAAGAGAGACCTGATTTCAACAAAGAAAGATGACAACAATGGACAACAGCAACAACAATAAACAGTTATAAAAAAGCATACTACAGTTTCTTTTTTTTTTTTTTTTTTTTTTTTTTTTAACAAGTAGGATGTTAGAGCTGGTCTTCCAACAAGATTTGTTTTCTATGGCTGTCAGAATATTTTGCCTATGACGAATAAACCAAACCTGAGGGACATGACCTGCTCTGAATGATTTGTCTACAGGAAAAAAAAACTAATTTCTGCGCCGTAAAGAGACAAATTCCAGTTTGAAATAACTTTAATCTATAGTAAATGTTATGATGTAAAACTGTACTTGAAGAAGTTTGTGAGGGATGAGAACTTAGACATTTATTTAAAATTTTCCCCCCAATATTAGTCTGAAAATCACAAGGTTTATATTCATAAAAAAGATATTTAGTCTAATTTTAAAATGAACTTATGTGGCTCAGAGTCCGTGGATCATTTTCTCTTGTTTTTTCCCGTCTCAGTGAATTTTCCACAGCTATCTTCACAATAAGACCTCATCCATTTTTAAATTATTTTTTTAACAGTAATCTATGGTGAGTGACAAGATCAACTAAAGCTGCACATTATTTTACTCAAATAAAACAATCACTTTCAGTTGGACGATAAAATCTTTGTTTAGATCTGTTTAACTCCCCCCAACGTTTGTATTATAATTTAATTTAGACCCTGGGAGTGTATGAGGCCCCAAATCTTCCTGCTGCATTATAAATGAGATCTTTCCTGATTGTGCATTGCTCCATTTGGATACAAAGGTCACGTTTGACCCTAATTCAGTGCTGATACAATCATTTGCAGGAGAGTTTGAGCTCCTGAAC